ATACATGAAAAAACGTGTTATGTATAATTACATATGAGTACCATGTACAATCCAGATTTACATATTACTAATACATAAAACATCTTATGCTGACACGCACATGTACACCACCTATTGTTTCCAGTATGCACATATATAATTAATACCAACAAACTGACAGGTGTCCTATAAATCACTGCTAGGTATTGAAAAAGTCATTTCACAGCAGTGACATCAGCAAAATGCACACAATGGTTGTGACCTCGCATCTGTAAAAATCTTTCAGAAATGTGCTTGGAAATTGCTTCCTATTTAATCCACAGCATTAATTTTAAAGCTTATCACCAACTTTTCATTGTTTGCAGGATATTTACTATATTCATATGCACTCCTCACAGAAAAATAAAAGACAACTTAAGTTTCTATCTTGTAATGCCTGAGTAGATACGAGCCATAATCTGTACTGTTCGTGATTCTTAGTATATTAAAAAAGATACAGTCTCTTTAAATAAATGTTCTTACAAAGATTTAGAAATTGAGAATGTAAAAAAAAAAAAAACAACAACCCTGAAGTTAGAATGTAAGTTACTGAATTTACCCAGCATTTATCTGGGTCACTGACCTACTGCTTCATATTTACAGATTTAACATCTTGTGTTTTGTGTTCTGTCCCACTGAAATTGGTTACCTGTGGGTCCTGGCAGGGGAGCAGCTTTCCTTCTCCGTTTGATGTCTCCCATGCACAATGATCCTAAATGCACACTGGTTTGCCTGCAAGTAATTACAGGAGGAAACTATTAACAAAAGAAGAAAAATGCCACAAACACAAAGCTTGTATAATCCGAACCTATATCAAAACATTCAACCGAGATGAAGCTGTGCTGTGAAGCCACCAATCTTGTTTATATCGAAGCATAATTATGTTTGTTGACAAGTGCTCAGTATCTAAACATAGCACCATAAATTGTTCTTGGAATGAATAAAATAAAAGGGATGCTTTTTAATTTTCAAAACTGGTGATCTTTCTAGCGCAACATAAAACAAAAAACAAAAACACTGTTGCTTCTGACAGGAAAATAGCTAAGATTAATTATCTAAAGAAATCACAATATTGTTGGTACAATATCAATTGGCTAGTAATGCCTAACTGTCAGAACAACATTTACTGCAGGAAAACCATTGTCAATTTCTTTTTAAAGTAAGATGAAGAACAAATGAGAAAACACAAAACAGCCAACTCTTCAAAGGTACATGAAATCATCTTGCAGCACATCAATTTGCCCTTTACTAATTCAAAGGCACGGTGTGATAACAATATAACAGAGCACAATGTCCAGTCTCTCATTAAACAATCATAAACTTAAGACTGGTAAACTATTGGAGCTGCTTAGGACAGTAGACAAGCCAAACTTACTGCATTAAAGCCATAAAGCCATCTACCTAACAATGAGGTACCACAGGAAGGGGTAAACTTGGAATTTCCAAATAATGAATTTTGCAATATAATCTTAAAGGAGATACTGTTTTTCACAAAGTAATGTGCAATCCCTGCAGAAAGGAACATACGTACTTGGCTTTTTTTTTTTTTTGGTAAAGAAATGAAACCAAACAGGGGATAAATGGAATAATTTACAAATGTCACAATTTTATTGTTTCCAAATATGTTATTCAGAACTGTGAACTTCTTACCACAGTATTGTGGTGAATTTTGATAAAAGTACAAGCTGAGAACTGCATCTGATAGTCTACTGTAGCATAGTAATACTCTGTTACTTAGGGAATCTGGTTTCATCATAGATATATGACCTAGACTTTACTGCATGTATAATTTTTTTTTTTAAGCTGCGATGTTCCTAAATGAATAACAAACGATTGTTTATGTCGACAGACTTCAGATCTTTTCAATAATGCAAAGAGTGAAAAGAGTATATTGATTTAAAAAATGGCAATGTACAGTATTCTATATACTTAAAAAAAAAGATACAGTAAACTAAGAAAGTACTAAGAATGTACTTCAGTGCTTTTATTTAAATAGTAAAATATTCCAATAAATAACTTTCATGCAGAAATGTATTCCAGCTTCACTTAAAGAGTCCCTATTTCAACATGTTTCTCTCTTATTTTCAGTTTTTTTCTTCCTTGCAGTTCTAAGTTGAAATACCACCCTATTTAACATCCAGAAACTGCAGTAGAACCAGTATACTAACAGTGCTATATTTCAGTCCAAATTCAGACAGATATCAAGGAATGTAACACATAACCAACTGTACAATACAGAAAATGAATACTTAAACATAATATGGGAAAATAAATATTTAAGAGATGCATATAACATTGATATTAAGCGTGTAGAGTAAGTTGTGTGGCAATTTATATGCCAAACAGTGTGCAACTCTGCACTTTCAGAATGAAAAATGGAGAAAGTCTCCAGGAATACAAGCAGGATGAAAGATAAAAATTAATAAAGTCAGGCAATTGAACCTGAAGACACAAGCTAGAGCAGTAACAGCTAGCAGTGCTTGAGTTATTTTACCCAGAATTGATTATCTGTTATACTACATTGAGATATCCAGATTATTGATCTGTAAGATTATGGTACTTGGGTCTCCCCACTTTTCCTCCAGGCACAGGAATGGAGTTGCAACAAATAACACTAAGTAAGGACTAGTTTGTTATTGTTGTCACCCTTCATGTAGAACACAGCAGTTACTTTTTAATTTAAAATCAATGAACATCTGAAAGGCAGTCCTTTCCTTCAGCATAAATGAATCATTTGTCTTTGCAAGGCACAACAATCTGATCACCAGCCAAGGTGAGTTTGGGTATTTCCTTCTTGTTGAGAACTCCGTGTGCCACAAATAAATAGCAATATGCTAGAGTCCCAATTAAGCTTTGTCAAATCTGGTTTTATGGCCACTAACACCAAGTCTCTGGCTCTCAATGCAGAAGTGGAGTTCACTTTCACCAGGTCTTACCATCTGATATGCACTGCCATTCAGATCACAGCAAAACATAAAGCTAAGGGTTTTAAGAGGAATGGACAAGAACCATCACAGTTCTTGAACTAGCAGTTAGATGAAATGAAGCATCGTACTTCAGGAGAACACTACATTTTGAAATGCTTGTAATGGGGGTATTAGAAAGTAGGGAGAACTCTGACCCTCAATCAGGCTAAGTTCAGCATTATGTTCCTTAGCATTAAATCACAAGAGTGAGGATTACAGAAAGGAAGATAGCTATTTGCCTGACTACTCTCTACTTATCCCTAGCTTGCTTCTAGCTATCATTTATAAATAGTGCTCTGCAGGGAAGCCAGGCATTTTATTAGGGAAAAAAATAAAACTTGTTAAGACCACCTTGCCTGAAAACTTGGCTTTTGACGAGCTGGTGACAGGGACTAGAGCAAGCAGTGTCAAATGGAATAATTTTTAAGGAAAGACAACAGGAACTTGTCGCCTCATTGTATGCATTTACAAATAGAGGCTTTCCAGAGTATTAGGCTTAGTTAAAACTGCCCTCTGGATAAAAAGTGTTCCCAAGCAGCCTCAGACAAGCTTGGGAGACAAACAGATGTGACTATGGTCCCTGGCGTTTGGCAAGAACACTCACTGTCAATAAGAAAAATATGAGCATGGACAGGGCATCAGCTGCACCATGGCAGAGCAGGCCTGCAAGTGTCACAGCCGCGGCAAAGTTGTGGCAGGGGGAAAAATCAGAGGGCTGCAAAAGCCAGGCTGGTGTGAACTTGCACTAGCATGCCAGGAATTGTTGTTGTTGTGGCATGCCTCAACATATTAAACAAAAACACTGGATAAACTACAGTCAACTTTTACTTATTTATTAAAAAAATCTTGGGTGCTTCATTAGACACAGTAAATAAGAGCCTCAAAACTGAATATAGAGTATAGAAAGCAGGAACAGCAAAACAATCTACAAAAATCTGTGGAAATAACAACAATGAAAAGCTGTTTTGGTACAGAAATATGTTTATCTTCTGTACAGAAGTAACATCACACAAGACTACTTAGAAGCATGTAGACATTGTGACAAACATTCAGACATATTCTGTTATCTCTTTAAATAGTGGCAGTTTTCCTATCATTTTTTTTTTCCTCAAGAGACTTGCCCTTGTTATCATAACATACAATTTTTGGCATCTTCAAACTCCCCAAACAATTGTACCTATACCTACAGAACAGTCTCCTTTTTTTCCCCCATTATCAAAGTTGAGTAAGTAAGTGATTTTCATGAGTGCCTTTTCTGTTACTCATGTCATCATACAATCATAAAATAGCAGAATGTTTGGGGTTGGAAGGGACCTTAATGACCATCTAGTGTCAACCTGCATACCATGGCAGGGTTGCTACACATCAGATCAGGTTGCCCAAGGCTACATACAGTATGGCCTTGAACACCCTTAGGTGTCCAAGACATTTGTTAGAGGTTATATCAGATTTATATCTGCAAAATCCCTCTGTAGACAATGGGCCATTTGGGAACATCCCCCAAACAAACCATTGTGTGATGGAACCTACAGCTGCATGGCTTACATGGTGACCCACACTGAGAGCACCTGAACACACAGCTCTGCTACTACTGGAGTTAAAAATTCACTAGCTCAATCATTGAGAAGGGTAATATGATGAACTGGTTAGTTGATACTCTCCCAAATGACTTTTAGCTCACTGATTTATTACATGCTACTATAGTCACAACCATTCCAGGTTGTGGAATTCCAAAAAAACAAACAAAACCTCCACACCCCTAAAACAAACAACTACAGCAACAATCCCAAACTCAATGCCCCCCCCAATTAAAAAAAAAACAAACAAATAAAAAAGCACAAAAACCAACTAATCCCATAATTACTCTATAGTATCTTCAGAAAGAAGCAATGAAGGCTGTTATTAATGCAGTTAAGTTCATTGACATTCAGTATATTTACTGTCAAACCATTTACCTTACTACACTGCAACATTGCTAAGATAACTTGTAAGTAATGGAGATTACGGTTTTATGTTCCATGTTAAAAATGCATAAAAGTACTGATGACCAACAAAGTCAGATGTGGGAGAGTGTGCATTTCTTATTTAATAACATATTTTTAACATCTATATTCTTGATTTGGAAAATCCTATGCTGGAGGCTATTACAACAGAATAATGTTTTGAAGAAGCCTGATTTCTGTACTGTAATTAGGTGAACCTGTAATGATCAATACTCGTATATCCATTACATTCTAACCAATGTCTCTCTCTCACCTGAGGAACAAATCCACTGTAAACAGTGCCACATCATTCTGCCACAGTATCAATGAATTCCTGCAGATGGCTGTAGAACTCTTCAATTTTATCATCAGAATGCCTTAGCTACTGTAGAAGCTTGACAAAAGTTTATAAGCAAAATTCTTTAAGAAGAGATTAAAATAAAGCAAGAGTTGACGGGTTTGCAGTCTAGAAAAGACTTGAAAGAATTATTTTCAAGTGGAAATGTAATTGCCATTTCTCAGTCTTAAAATATAGATAAGCAATAGATATGAATATAGATATAATTGAAGACAGAATGTAGTGAGGACCATGATTCACATTACGCTTCAAATGCTTTGACAATTCCTTACAAGCTGAAATTAAGTAGATGGTTTGTGAAATAACATTCACATTATCATAAAGATTAAAAAAAGCAATAGAATTCAAAATTGCATAACAGAAGAAAGTCAATAAAATGAAGTGCATTGTGTAACTCAACTTCATAAAATCAAAGCATAATCTGAGTGATGATGACAATACTGCAGAAAAAGTTCTCAAATTCATACACATACTGGACCTGCACTTAAGATTCTTATTTATTACATGGCACAAAATGCAGTGTTGTATGCAGTAGCCAACGGAAGCACATTCATTAGCACTGCTTAAATAGAAAGCCTGTATGCATTTTTAACTCCTACTGTACCCCTCTAACTCTCCACAAGTGACTAGCAATGGCTTCAAGACCATCTGAGTCCACAGAACAGTTTATGATCACTTTAAATAGAATGAAAAACTACAATGTACGTCTTACTAAACTTCCAATTACATTATGATGAACACGAACTTCTACAGTTTCTTTTGACTGAGTGTCCAAATGTGGGCACAGCCTCTGGTTTCCATGCAAATGGCCAGAGAACTGTAAACCTGTGGTAACATCTATAAACAATTACACACATGGATGGCTTTCTGCCCATTCTCAAGAAGGTTTCTACACTCTCTCACTCTCTAAATATGCACAACACATGTGCAGCTCAAGCAGATGAGCAAGACACTACTCTGAGGTCATCTTGGTGTGTGGACTGCATGACACCAAATAAGAATGAACAGAATAATGGATTTAACAATGAAGATCAAGACCCCAGATCTCAGTATAATGTAATACAGTAATCTTGCAAAAACAATCCAGTAACACCTTGGAAAGAGAAGTTGAGATAAATGTCACTCAGTGCAAATTTACCTTACTTCAAGTCAAATCAATGTCTACAACCTATTTTGTTATTTTTTCACAGAAACATCGTGTGTGTGTGCCTAGTGACAGTCTGAGCATTGTATTAAGCATTAGAGCAGCTCCCACTGTCTACCAAAGCTACTGTGATAGCTGCACTGTTGGTGAGCAATTCTTCACTTAAATTTTCCATGCAGAAAAAAACCAAAACCCTTCAATAACGCGATGCTGCGATCATATACTCAGAGTAGACATGAGGGTCTATCACTATTCCTATCATACTCAGTAAATTAAAAGGATTTCATGGACTTTATAGAAACTGACAATATTTAGCGCTACGAGACTGACTCCTGGAAATTAAAAACTTAAAAATCTCTAGTATGCCTGATTTTCTTTTTAATAGGTGAAATCATTCACAAATTTATACATGTTCCCTCAAGTTAACATTCTGGAGATTGTAGAAAGAATACTGCTCCCCTCCATACCTTCTGAACAATACAGCGTTGACAGTATTAAATGGATTTCCTTCTTAGCTATGAGTGCTAAATGAAGACTGCTGCTAATTAACGTTGTCTACAAAATATGCTAAAAGTTTTTACAGTAACTCTTCATTCAGTGCTAAAGAACTGACAAAATAATAAGGAAATATAATTCATATGTAGCATAAACATGTTTTTTAATGGTTTTGAAAATGAATATAGATTTCTTCTTGGTATCATTTTTCTCAGACACCATTCACATGAAATCAGTTCCACATTTGATTCCTCTACTTCCTTTGCAAACATTGAAGCTTTTCTTTAAACTTGTTTAAAGAATGACATCATCCATACAACAGACTGCAGCATCTGCTTCCACAAGTGTGAAAAAATATTGTATTAACCACAAAAGCTATGCACTTTGTCCTTTCACAAAATTTTAAACAGCTGTGATAAAACAGTGCATGTCTAACTCCTTTCATACGAAGCCAATCTGTTCACAACATAATTTTCAACATAAGGATGACATACCTGTTTTATTGAAAGTCCTATGAAAATACTATCATTAATAAGAAAAATACAGTTTTCCTCCTACCCACGTCAGCTTATCTCATCCAAATACTGTATCCTAATACCTTCCTCTGTGTTACCTGTTCAGCATTTCTAAGGGTCATTCAAAAATAGAAATAGTGCAAGGTCTGAAAGTCTATACAGGTAAAACAAATACTATGAAAAATAAAATTTTGTGCTGCTACAGAGACATCTAAACTCAAGTCACTCATACTACATTTGCAAATCAAGAGTCTCTAAATTTTTTTCTGTATTAGAGGCCTACTGCCCTCAGAAAGGATAATGCATTGTTTTTTCTTGTTTCTAATTAGTAATTTAAGCATATGTTCAGCATTTAACTCTAAATGTTTGTCTTTTCCCCAAGCTCTAAGACAGCTGTCCAAGATGTGAATGCCAGAAAACATTTAAATATCAACATCTGTTGAATTATGTTAATTTAGTGTAATATAATTGGGCATGAGTTGGAATTGATCAAAAGTATATGAATTACACAAAGGCAAATCTAAACCAATATCTTAGTGTACAAACAAGTCACCAAGGAACAGTGATGGAACAGAACTAAAAAATCTACTTCTGTTAAAAATTAAATTGCTAAAACTACAGCTTATTTTCACAGATGACATGATTTCATGTTTTTAAAAATAAGTATTTGTAGCAGAATATTTCAAAATATTTTCAAATACATATTTCCCATTATGATTTTTTAATCACAAAACACCTGATAAAAATAGGTAATGCTCATCTTTGTGTGATTATGTAACATAGACAGAAAAGAGGTTCCATGAATAATACCATTCTCCTATAGGATAATGTTGTTTTACAAATTCTAAAACAAACAAACATTCTTTTGTTCCTTTTTCATCTTTTGACAACATCATTAATACCCACAATATATGGGTCCTCATCTAGTCTGAAATGATTTCAAAAGCATCTTTTTGACTTGAGCAATAACCATGGCCTTGAGCAGCTATTTCCACTGGGCTGGATAGCTTAGTCAGCCACACTGTTCATTACAGATATTTGTGAATACATATTTGTTTACTAAGCATGACATTCACTAAATAGAGTCAGTACAGGACAAATGCAACTTGTTGAAAAGCCTTGCAAGTTCAGTACTGGGTTATACTCACACTTAGATACTTTTAGATTATACTCATGTTGGGACAGGTTAAAATCATTGCAAAAATTAGTCCCACTTCGAAAATTTTCTTTCTGTGCAGGCTGAAAACAAGAAGCAACAGCACAAAAATATATATCACAAATATCTAACATAGTTTAATAACGGAACAAGAGAAATGCTTATAAGGTTGGACTTTGATAAGGTTGGTGAACTTTGATATTGGTTCCCTACTCTATTATGAGAAAATGAGAAAGCACAGCCACATCCACATTTCACTTCCACATTTTTAACAGTGTGCTTGATGAACAATTCTTGAAACAACCTCATTTTCTGGTCAAGATAGCTATAATTCAAATAATAATAATGTTCCAAGAAAATTAGATACAACCACATGTATGAAGAAAGAGAGAGGGAAAAAATTCACCAAAGCCGAGACTGAACATTATGCTGTTATGAAACCTCACTAAGTAGTACAAGGTATCTGCACGTGTAGGAGTTAATGCAAAATTTGAATTTCCGATATCAAAGAAGTGCAGATAAGCAGCAGCTAAAAAGGCACTGACTGATGTCCTCTCTTCTCTATTAACTGATGATACTAACACTTCAAAAAGCCTTGACAACACAAAGTCCCAAATCTAAAACCAGTACACTGATTACTGTCCTTTCTTTTGGCTAGGACAGTTCTTGAATAACATTTTTCCACATAGGCTGAAATGTGTTGTTACAATAAATGACCATAATTTTGAAACATCAAAGAAAATAAAGAAAATTCTACATAATATAAAACAAGCTACTCAAATTTTCTAAAAGAACAGAAAAATGTAATCCCACCTTTCCTCCATACGTAACTATTCATCCTTATGTTCAAGGAGAACAGCTTTCATGTCCCTGTATGGTGTAAAGACAGAGAGGATCTGAATTTTTAGATCACCCTAGTACAAATCACGTCCCCAGTACACGTAATTTTATGACTACACAAAAACTCATGCTGGGACAAACAAGTGCTGAAAAAACAGAAAGCAAAAAGGCCTGTTGTGATTGCAATGTTGTTTAACAACAGACTAAAAAAATTAAGGGAACTCCAGCTCAAGTTCTGGATCACAAACTGGAGTAAGCTTCAATCTGGCAACTACAAAAAAAGCACAGCTAAAAACAGGTGCGAGAAACAAGCATATCATGCTGAAATTCAGTTATATGAAACCGAGTAACTTGCTGTCAATTCATACAGGATAAGATTCAATCTAGACTGCATATATGAGGAAGATCCAGAAGTACACCAGTTCTGGAGGTTCTCTGTCATCCTGTTTATTTATATATTTTTTAAAAATAAGGACTAATTAACTTATTATTAACTTGACAGTACACTCATGTATTGCTGGAATTTTAAAGTTTTTTTTTTTTTTTCCCCACCATTATTTAGTAGCTTATTTATGTACAATATCGTTAACTATATTAGCTTTTAGTACAATAATGAAATTCTGTTTGTGGTTTTTTAGTTAAAATTTAGCTTTACATTGCAGATACAATGAAAGAATGTATTTTTCAAAAGAAAGTTGGAGGAGTTGAGTTAAAAACGATATTACTCTTTAAAGATAGTGACTACAATTAATTTTGTCAATGGATACTTTAATCTATCCAAGAATTAATATGGAATCTTAAATAATATATATTTTTTTTTTCCAAAGCAGAACATGCTAGCTATCCTTAGAAATAACAACCAAACTGCACTACCCTCTTTCCGCATACACAAGTCTTCTTATGACCTTAAAAATAAGGTCATTGTATAGAAAACTAGATCAGGAATTGCCCTCTTTCAAAATGGCACCATCTCTTCTCAAAGAGGAAAAATTGCAAACTGATGAAATAACATTGTCCCTGAGGGTGATGAAAAGGGAAGAAAGCAATGTGTCCTCAAACATTCACATAATTTAATCTGGAACTGCAAATATTATTAAGCACCAATCATAAGTGTAGAGTTAGTGCTTCATGGCACTCCAAAGACGAGATAAAACTGCTTAGTTGTTAATTTCTAATGATGTAAACACATTTGGATTTTAATATTTTATCTGAATCTCCTGCATGATTGATTAGCTCTGGGGTTATAATGTATTAACTTATTACCTTTAATAGTTGTACACTTAAACTAAAATGTTTAAACATTACCTTTTAAAATATTATTGTTAGGAGCATTTCTTTATGTGATGGCAAAAATGAACCAGGCAGTAAACCAGTTATGCGATCCTTAGTTTTACTGCAATGCATCTGTATGCACATTTTCTTGTATAATTTTCAAAAAACTGGCTGAATTTACCTCCTCTGGTATATTGTAATTTCATTCCACAAAAGCCACATTAAACAATTACAGTACTTGTAATTAACCAGTAGTCTAATGTACAGTTTTCTTATCCCAATCTATTAACAGCTGCTCAAAAAATGTAGTAATTAATGGTTTCATTTATTTCTGGCAAACCTGCAAGATGACAAATAGTTTTGTATCTGCTGCAAATTAGGACTCTTTCCCAAACAACAGATGACATGGTGGGAAAAAGGGAGCAGACAGAATACTTGCACTTGCATCTTTATTTCTTCAGAAGATCAAATAAAGAGCAGTTGTAATTCTATTTGTCACATCTGTGAAAAAGAACATAATGTCTTTGTATCAGATCTGTAATCAGATGAAACTGAACAAGTACTATACAAACATACAAATAGGGGTCTCCCTTCCAAACTGGGAAAGGCTGAAATTCATGTTGCTATTCAGAGGAAAAACACACTTTTGAAAAGCTCTCATCAGCTTTGGTGCTACTTTTCTTCTAGAAACTTTTTTTTTTTTTTAAGAGAATACTGTTAGTCATAATAAAGAAATAAGTCACAAACATACATACTTGAGATGACATCTTTTACTAACACAGGGCATAAATTTAATCTGGATATAGAACAACTAAGGCAAAAAAGCGAAGAAGTTGCAGAAAACCCAGGGACACTCATCGTTTAGTATGATCTGACATTTCCTTCACATAACTCTTGAACTATTTCCATAGCCGTCTTCCACTAAGGTCTCTCATGTGGAGAAACCTGTATTTCAGCCTATGTTGTTTGCCACTGCATGAGCATGCTTTGAAGCCTTCTTGACAATTCAGAAGAGAACAGCAACAAGTGGCCATTGGAAGAATGGCACAGTCTTTCTTCCTCATTACAGTAATGGTTAAACAGATGCCTCTGCTGATTTTTAAGTAAATATCACGGTTCTACCTCAAGTTACGATCTACTCTGCAGCCACAAGAAGTGGATAACTAGTTCATCCTAAGCTACATTGACAAGATTGTTAGCACTACATCAGCTACCTCATTTAATCCTAACTTGAATAATTCTATACTGCTTTGAAATCACTTTTGTAAGACTTTGTTCAAGCCAGGACTGAACTGTATAAGAACTACAAACAGGTGTTTTTTTTTTCTTTTTTTTTTTTCTTCTCATTTGAGTGTGGAAGGCCAACATGGAGTCGTCAAGACCAACCAAAGAACCTGCATACAGCAGCAGTTTGGATGCTCTTTTCAGTTTCTCCACCCATGCGTGTGCCATAAATTCTTACAGTACAATAAGAAAAAATAAATATGATTAAAATATAGATATATGATAAAATAAGATAAAATAAAAATATATATTTAACATGGGCACATTGTAAAAAGAAATTATGCACAAGACCACTACGCATAGTAAAGGAAACAATTATGAGCTTAACTTATTTAGTTGCAGTGGTTTCCCAACCTGAAATGTTGTTTCTAGATTACAGCCTAAATAACTAGTTATAGTGTTGACTGTATAACTAAAAGTAAAACTTTTACTTAAGCATTCTGGTTATTCTGTCAAATGGGAATATAGCAGCATGTCCCAGCTTTACAGAATATTGTACAGACAAATACTTAAAAAAAATTAAGACATGAAGATAGTTATGTGACAGAGGTGCCCTAAATACTTAGCAATACATTACTTGTTGAGAACAATAATCACCGAATCACAGAATTGTAGGGGTTGGAAGGGACCTCCAGAGATCATCGAGTCCAACCCCCCTGCCAAAGCAGGTTCCCTACAGCAGGTCGCACAGGTAGGCATCCAGGCAGGTCTTGAACATCTCCAGAGAAGGAGACTCCACCACCTCCCTGGGCAGCCTGTTCCAGTGCTCCATCACCTCACTGTAAAGAAGTTCTTGCGCATGTTTGTGCGGAACTTCCTATGCTGCAATTTCCAGCCGTTTCTCCTTGTCCTGTCTCCACTCACCACTGAAAACAGTCTGGCCTCGCCGTTCTGCCCCCCACACCTTAGATATTTATAGACCTGGATCAGGTCCCCTCTCAGTCTTCTTTTCTCAAGGCTGAACAGACCCAGTTCACTCAGCCTTTCCTCATATACTGTATACATAATACTGTAGTAGTAGATCAGCAAAATATGGTTCTACTCTGTTTCAATAGCCAACCAAACGAATGTTCTTCACACTGTGCAATCTTCCTTAGGTACAACTCCTTTTTCTAAAATTTTACAAAGGTGACTTACGAAAATGCGTGTCACCTCATGCTGGGAGCATGCAAACAAAGAGCACATGCTCAGCTATGGCAGCTCAGCTGCCAAGCAACAACTTGTTAACTTGCCATAACTCAATCATGTTCAATTGTTTGCCCGCAGCCTCAGGCTACAGACAGACATTTGGTCTGCTAACAACTGCACCAGATGAAGACATTACTATCCCAAGCTATTTGTTATCACACATCTGCTAGAGATTATCATCTCCACAGCTCTGCTGGGGGAAGAAATCATGTGAGCACTCCCTAGTACAAACCCAGCCAATTTAATTTAAATAGGTGAGTTGAGCTAACCAGGCTGGTTTTGCCCAAAGCGTACTAAAAAAATAAAAACAAAAAGCCTACTTTACTGGCAAAAGACCATAGCATAAAACAAGCGGCTGGGAAAATTAACACCTTCAAACAGTGTAGTGGGATTTGGGAGCAAACAGTTCCTGTCCTAATACAAAGAGATAATATAAACTTATATAAAAATATTATTTTTTCAAGGCTATGCAGGAGGAATAAATACACAGCTTTAAACCAGAAATAGGTAGCACTGTTGATACAATTTCAGTAATCAGTGACAGAAGAGTTTACTTGTAAAGGTAACATAAATAAACGCGTATTACAAATACACAAACACAGAAGATCACATGTTGAATTGTATCAGAATTGTTTGACTTATCCAGTTTCTATGTTTTGTTGTGCAGGACTATCCCTTCCTAACGTTTTGTTTCTCAATAGCATTATTAACAGTTCACATCAACCAAAAGATCCTTCCAGTAATAAGGCTAGCTATTAATTCACATAAGATTAGCTTATAATTATCGAGTTTGAGAAAAAACTAATACAAGCAATCTATCCACTATGGATAGAAAGTCTTAATCCACTGCAGCGTTTTAGAACTCCACACCTTTTTGATGTATTCACCCAGTAAATTATTCCACAAGTCACCAATCTAACACAATGCAGGTCGTTACGTTTGTCTACTTGCCAAGACAAGAAGCGTCACCGAAAAGGGGTAAGGAACAATCCAAGCATAAAAAACATGCATGTATACAACTATCTTATGTGCATCTTATGTGTTTTTTATATGCATATAAAAAAAGAGTAAATGTTTTCAAGAACAGAAATAAAAAGTTCACCACTAAAAAAAAAGTTGTGTGAAAACTATACAAAGAAATAGATGGAGAAATTAAATCTTGTAATTAGAGAATCAAACTGAACTATTTTCTAGGTAAGTACTATAATTCTAAAGAATTTCCAATCCTTACTTACTGCTGTTATTTCACCACCACATTCAATAGCTGAATAGGAATACAGTGTAAAGTTAGAATACTTGTTGTGTACTCATCCAAATTACATTCAATGCATCAATTAGTTTGAATAGTCTAAAATACAAACTACTTATGTGTCAGTTTTAAAATGCTTCAGACTCAGGTGTGAGTAAACACCTGTTTAACAAAAGAATGCAGATAACTGCATATGAACAGAGAAAGTACAATTGAGAAACATTCACTTCAAGGATACTTGATTCTGAAAGGATCTAAAATTTGTTCTGGTATTATCTCTTGGCACTGGTATCTTGGAGTGGTGTTTTTTTTTGTTATTTTCATTGCTATTGTTTTTGTTTTTTTTTTTTTTTCTTTTGCTTTCTGTTCTAAAGCATCTGTACATACACAAATGACAGATTTCTATTTTAATATTCCACATAATGAAATTGCATATTTATAATAAGGCTGAGATCACCATTTTAATAACTGTACATAATATATGCCATTAAAACAGTAATTTTTATAAGTACTTTGTTAAGTAAAAATGTTTTCTCTGTATTGAGTGATGAAAGTAAGTTTACCCCTTACAGTAGAAAAAACGATTTATAAGTTTTAACACAGGCAATCTTCAATATTAACCTTAAATAAATCTCACATTTCTTGGAATCACAGAATGCCTTGAGTTAGAATGAACCTTAAAGATTGTCTATTTCCAACTCTCACCATGGGCAGGGTTATCACCCACATCACATGACACTATGAATTTAATTTGTAATAGAAGACCAGACAAACAGTCATGAATTGAATGAAGGTAGATACTATGAAGCTCTGAAGACATCAAATATGTATTTGTCACATGCTGTTCCTACATATGTGAAGAAAAATCTATTTTGGTGAGAACTGCTTTTGATAAAAAAAAGTGAAATGTTACAATAAAGAACACTAAGATCTGTAGGAAGAAAGTAGTCCCCAGGACTGTTATTGGCCTAACAGAAAGAGCTTACAAATACTTACTTGATATTCTAAAAGTTGTCACATTGTAAAAAATAATAATAATAATAATCACCAGAGAAGTCTGAGAACTTATTTTCCATTCATTCTCAAGAACTGACAATGAAGGTTCTACAGCAGGCAGAGAAAACTTGCTATTTTTTTGCAAAACCACAAGTAATTATTGTGAAATAACCCAATGACAACCCAGCACACGATCTTGCTATTTTTAAACATGCTATAGTATGATAACATACCCTGGTACCATGTCTATTTGCAATAATAGTTTATGTAAGTCTTAGTTCAATAATACTATAGATATTTTAGAGAAAACAACTGTCTTCAGACCTACATTGCTTTTATGCAATCCTGCCAAGAATTTTTTTGGAAATACAGTCTACCAGCCTACTGCTGAATTGGATGTGAAGAGAGGTTGAAGACCACTCCTTGTATTCAATGTTATTTAAAAAAAGTTAAAAAAAAAAAAAAAAAAAAAATTACCTACAAAAGAAGTTAGAAGAGATCAACCATTTTGAGAGAACTTCAGTGGCCAGAAAAAATGAACATGAAAGTTATAATTCTGAATTCCTCTGACACTGTTCCAGTGTGCTAGGGCATAAAAATGGTCCTTAAAGGACTTCAAATATAATCTGCTTCTTAACATCCACTTGCTCTCAGTTTCAAGTAAATAGCTTGATAGTGTGTACTTACAGTGAAAATTTGTACCTAATGTGGATTCAAACCAATACTCTAAACAAAAATACAATGTGATAAAAATATTTGCTAGAAAATGTATGCAAAACTTTTTAGATATCTTTGCTTAAAAAATAAAAGGTGAAATAGGCAAACCCACCATTTCTGAAGATGAATGAGAAGCATTTTAAATACTGTCTAAGCAAAGTTTGAATACAATGACATAGATTCATATTTAGTATGATATTTTTGAAGAAGTATTGATCCCACTTTCCAGTTATTCATCAAAGCAATTATTTAATAATGGGAAAAACTTGTTTCAGGATGATCACGTATGTACTACAATGTAAATGCTTGAAAGACAGCTGTAGTGTCTCACACAAACCCATTGTATTTTACAATGATACAAATCTATGGTAACTTTTCAATATAATTTCAGAACATGATGTTTACACAGCAACATTACAATTCTGCGTACTTTTCCCATAGTTTGTCAGTTTTGAAAAAATACTAGTTATAAGAATTCCTTTATCAGACCAGATTGATTCAGCAGGTAATGTACAAAGAAACCCCTCTGGGAACAGACTTCTAGACTAACGCCCATCAGTTCAGTATTTAACGTGTTATTTTGAGGGGGAGGAAACAAGCTGGAAGATAGAATTAGATGTGTATGATTAGTTTTCACATTGAGACTCTTGTTGTTGAAACATGACTTAAGAACAATTGAAGTGTTAAGGTATTTATGTTGACTTTTTGATTTCAAAAGTTAGCATGCATAATGGTAATTTCATACATTTTCAACAATTAACTTAGATGCCAGAAGCATAAACCTTGCTTCAGTATCCATTTAATTCTCATGTTTATTAAAGAGATTGAGTTTATTAAGTGTAGTTGGATACAGACACCGATAAAGTCTGTGCCAGCAAAGATTAGGTTATACAAAAGAGACTGTTTAAAGTAAATTACAAGCATGGAAAAACACTGAAAATACCCCGAGATATATATGAAATTGATATTAAAAAAAATAATGAATCAACAACTGCATGAACAGCTGTAAAGATGGCTGCTAACCCGAACTTACCTGCTAGCTGTTTTTACAGAGCTGTTCTTCTTGTGTCCTCTGTCCGACCGGTTGTCTCGCAAGAGCTGAAGATATTCAAAAAATTGCTCAGAATGGTTTCACATGCAATGCCTCTATTTGTCTTTTAGAAATGTTATTCTTTCCTGACTTTTGAGTAATCCTTCAATAATGTTTTCACCCTGGAGTCTAAAACTGATGGATGCCTAATAACATTTTATGGTAATAACTAAGAGTGCAAGATACATTCACAAACACACACCTTATTATAAATTCCCAGTTAATTGAAAATGAAAACATAAGCATTTTAAAGGCACATTACAAAGCCATTCACAATGTTACATTTTAATTATCTTTAGACTTTTCCACAATTTCCATACTCAAATTTTTAAATTTTAAAATCAAAAGTGTCGGGGAGACTTAAATTATGATAAAAAAATATAATCAGGTTGGTGCTTGTAGCTAAGCAAGTATGAAGCAGTTATAAATTTCTCTAAGCCCCAGGAGTTTTTTTTGTTTTTTTTTTTTTTAATAATTTGAGAACTGCAGAAGCAACAAAAACACATTATTAAAGCTTCCCACAATAGTGGTGAAGCAGGGATAATAAAGGAGCTACTTAACAATAGTAATGTCTCAAGTTCTGGAACAAGCTTTAATTAACTCCTTTTTAGACAAACAACACAAGACTTCTCGCTAGGATCATCTCCAAAGTTCAGAATTATATTTCCAGCATTTTAGTATTTGTCGAGATGGGTAAAGTGGCACTTAATAGCAAAGAAATGCTGCTAAAAAGCAATACCAAAACTCAACGGTATGTAAAAAATAGAAACATTTTTCAGAGCTATTCATATATTGAACAAAGCATAAAATAAACTTAAAAGTCCCTGGAAATCCTTGAATATTATGACTTGGTCAACTATACCTTCATCCTGTGCATGAGCATGAATGCAAAAAAATTACACCTATCTAAAAATTATGCTTAATTTTTCCCTGAATTTTTATTGCTTGCTTCTTGCATGAAGACTGCTCCTTATCATTTCAGTTATTAAATTTTCACATGCAGTGAATAAGCGTGATTTTAAAAGGCAATCAAAGGATGTGTAAAGACATCTTATTCTGATACATTATTGCAAGTTAGTTTTTTTCCATTTTCTTATGGTCAGCAAATCACTTGCAAATTGCATTTAAATATGGCCACAATTCTTACTAGTATAATTATTATATACTGTGTATTTATCTCATGCCGAGATAAAGACAACATTTCTATCATTATCAATACTCTGGCTGAAAAGTAAACTGAAATCATATCTTATGAAAATACCAGATCACCAGACAGATTTCAATTACTTATTTTCTAGTGTAACAATTTTAATTTCAGGAATTAAACTAGAAGGTATTTAGCCCGCATAACCTACAGTTATACAGTATGGATCTTCACAACTTCAGCGAGAATTCTATAGACTCTCTCATTTCTTATATTGGTCTAACAACAACAACAACAACAACAACAACAACAACAACAACAACAACAAAAGCCAACAAAAAACAAAAACAAAAACAAACATGATACCCCAGAAGCACATGTATTATTTGACACTAGCTTCAGAATTCATTAACAGTCTAAGTTAAAAACAGAGTGAATTTAAGATAATCTCTGAAACTATAGCCCTTAGGAAATGCAAAATAAACATGTAGAATTTAATTCACAGCTACTGTTATCCGAGAAAAAATTATACTCTGAGACAAACAATATATTAAAAAAAAAAAAAACACTCAAAAATAATTACACAAATTCATTTTAATGTAGTAAATTTTGCTACATACAGCATAAAAATTTCAGGAATAGGACAATGATACCCCAAGGGAATCTTTTATCGTGATTAAGTCTGGATGAGGAGCTGCAAGATATGGTTTACTGCTTGTGGTAGCAATGGTAATAGGAGGACGGTTGGACCAGACGATCTCGCAGGTTGTTTCCAACCTTACAATTCTATGATTCTCTAAGACTAATCATGCTCATTTTTAAAATGCTGTTCCATTGTGATTCTTCTACTAAGAAACACATTTTGAAATGATATGAGTTAAAAGTGAATCATATAAAGCTGCCTGTTTAGATGTCAATAGTCAGTCAGCTTAGTGTGAGATGTCAGAAGTGCTCAATTGATAGTTAAAACTGTACTATGTACTTTTTTCCCACTCCAACAGTTTTAAGCAGGTAAAATAGAGAGACTCAGTTTTGCTGTGGAGTTCAAAAGAAGTGGGGGGCAAAGGAAAAGGAACATGTTGATTTAAACTTTGACTTTCCAGAGTTACAAGTGGTCATGAGGGATCACCCTATGATGAACCTTTCAAAAGATTCTACGCACCTTATTTCTTTCTAATGTCTCAAATTTAGTTAAATTTGTAAGCACACAAGCGACCTGGTACAGATCTAATCACATCTACTGAGTTATAACAATTTTTACTAACTGAAAGTGAACTGTGGAACAGTTGTTGCCTTAAACGCTGATGCATCACTGATTTATTCTTTTTACTTAATATTTCATATTAAGTGTATAAAAGCAGATATATTTTCCTAATTAAAAGTTCTTGGACAGCATGTTCTCTTTGCATCTTATAACAGTCCATAAGGAAAAGTATTCCTCCATGTCTGAAAACAAGCTAAAGTAGTAAGTGTTATTTCTCTAACCAAAAATAAACAGGCCTTCACATTCCCTTGAGCACATTTCTAGGCTTGAGCAAGGAACCTTAGGAACTATACCACAGAGGTAGTACATACACTTACAGTTTATTCTAACCAATATCTGTATTGTGGCACTCTTTGTTTGGCTGGATACAAAGGAAATTTAACAGCTCTCTGCTACTGCTGTGGTCTTTTTAAAAAGTGAAATTAAGAAAAATCAGAATGAAAATCATCCTGCAGAAGCCTGCCCACTCTTGTCACTGTTAGGCTTCGTTGACAAAAATCAGGAAATAAATTTTGTTTTACTGCATTTTAAGAAAAATAACATTTAGAGATTTTACAGTTAACAAAATCTTTCCTCACTAAAACAAAAATGCAACAAGAGATTTTTTCCTTTAACCTGCCAACACTCAAGGAAAATTAACTGAAATTAAATTACTAACTCACAATTTTTAATTAAGGGAAGAATTTTTTTTGAAAGGAGTTGCTGTTCATAAATTTTCTTGCAAGGAAATATGAAATATGAATACGTGCTTTGTCAATCATTTCTTTAAATATTAGCCTGCTGCCTCTGGCACAGAGGTAGTTAAATTCCTTAACACATCTCAAGTAAACTGCTTTTGATCAAAACAGTTCTTACCTGGCTATGTTCCTTCCTAGCCCCAGGGCTAAACCAATGGCTGTGGGAGAAGAAGAAAAGACAGGTTTAACAATATAACTAACAAAGCACATGCTGTCATATGACCAGCCTGTGCGTGCTTTTGGGTATTTTATTATCTGCCAGGAAAATACAGCCGTTGGCTACGCTTTATTTTAATGGGATATTTTTATTGAACTTTCGGTCTGCTACAGTTCTGAAAGAATACACTACAAATTTCACTTCTCAGTAGCTGCTGGATTTATAGGTAATTATATTTTGTCAGAGAAGGTAAAATAATATAAAAAATGATAATATTTTAATAAACTATAATGCACATACTATAAATAAAAGCAATCTGATATTTAATGCTGAAGTGTTATTTTGTAATGATTATAGCTGGAAAGATTTTTAAGTACTGTGGACTATTTGGTAATTGTTACTGTACTACCTCACAAACTGAGGTCTGAGTTTGAATATAAAGTGTAATTCAAAGTCAGCAGAATTAGTGGACTCATCTATACACAATTACACAATTTTGACTATTGGCAGCCTTATTCCAAGGAGTTATTGCAATTATTTGCAATTATAACTGTTGCACTTTTTCTGAACTTATTAAATGTAACAGTTTATTTCCATTTTTTCTGCACAGCACACTGGAGCACCTACATAATGATGCTAAAATGTTAAGTTTAACTAGCATACTTTGAGAGGAAGCAAAGTCTGAGCAATGAAGGATGCTCCAAAAGTAATGCCCCTGATTTTATTATGGTATCACAACATGAGATACAGATGGTGGAGGTACTGCAGTAGAGGTTGAACCATCCCACAAATATTTTCATTGCCACGTGACTGATGGCAGCAGAGGGGCACTCTGATACAACGGCAGTTGACATGCAAGTGCATATGAAATAAAGGTGCATTGCTAAGTTCCTCCACCTGGAAAAAAAGGCACCCACTGACATTCATCAATTCTTGCTGAACAATGATGGAGACCAAACAGTGCATGTGAGCTCAGCGAGTGGTATGTTTCAGCAGTGGTGACAGCAACAGTAGGTCAACTTCCACTGGTGTAGGTGTTGATGAGTGCAGCATGCAGGGTTTTATTACTGGCAAATATGAAAAGCTAATGGCAGTGAAAATGTTGAACACCATGGTACTTTAGCTATAAATTTGTACTACCACATAGCATTACTGTGCTAGTGCGCTCTCTGAATCTGTTATATCTGTGGAAATTAATAGGAGGTATTACTTTCAGAGCAACACATGTAAATTATTAAGTCCCAAATCTGAAAGCTCTTTGCTGATGATCAGTCCATCTTCTCATTCCCATATTATAAGGAATTATCATACAATACCAGTTGTACCTGAAACCTATGTACTGCTAAATTCTTTCTCTTCTTTCCAGATAATTAAAGGATAAGTGTGAAATTTATAAAAAATGAAATGACAGAAAGAAAGCTACAAGTATACTTTGACATACAGATTAGTAGACATTACTATAAACTGGACAGGAAAAGCGTTAAACAGCTGCACTGAACAGTTCAACTTTCAAATGCATGATTTGGAAATTATAGGAAAGTTACCTTATTGTTGTAATCACTCAAAAGAGATTAAGAAAGAATACAACTAATGTTTTCAGCAGGACAGAACAACAGTTCACATTGGTTGCACACTGGAGTAGCTTAATAAGCTGAATGACATTCCTTATTTGTGTATGTCCAAACAATTAATGTATTTTCATAAATATCATGATAATCTTTTTTCCTCACCTGACACTAACGTTTAAGATTCAAGAAAGTGATGCTTTATTTTCAATTATTCAAATGAGGCATTTCTGAAATTGTTTACTTTTGAAAAAAAAAACAAACCCACAGCGTGTCTTTTTAAACATCCTGTTCCATTTGATATCTATCCTATCTTAGAACACTAAAAAGTGTTGCTTTTTAGAAGAGCATATACTTAGCAGGTTAATAAAATTACATTTACAAAATATTGAACTGCATGTTTCATTAAGAAACATAAATTATAAAGGATTATAAATGTTACTATTAAATAAATAATACTATGTAGCTGAGCTGAGCTTCCCTTATCACATTTGTACAGTTGCAAAACGTAGCTTTAAGAAAGAGGTACTACTGTGACAAAAGTAAAAATATTTCTAAGTCCAGTACTGATACTCACTCATGGTGAAGAGAATCCTGGGACAGGTGAATTGTCTTTCTGCTACCACCTGGTCCTGGAGTTATCTATGGTAGAAAAGTGGGAAAAAACATTATTCGAATTATGGAGCAGAATATGAACACAGAGACTGTTTATTAAGGAAGCATACTGCATGTACTGAATGCTGTATCTAGTGTACTGTCTCAATTTTGAAAATGCAATTAGCAATATCTGCATTTTTAAATTAAAAACTGAGTGCAGAAAGGTACTGTACAGGGTTTACTAAAATCCTTTGGGCCTAATTCTGATTGGATGTTAGACATTTATAGATATCTGGGGCCCACATTACTTTTTGAAAGCCTGTGAAATGCTTACTCTGAAAAACTGAAAGTTAGATAGTTAGATGGTTTGAAAATCACATTCAACAGACAATAAAAAAAAAAAAATCTATTCAGCCTTTGAAATCCCGACACACAAATCTTGAAACTCAAGTTGATGCAAGAAAAAAAGCAAAGAAAATCATATATATATATTTTTTTTTACCATACTACGTTGCATTGTTTTTGTCTAGCCGTTTACATTCACTGAAATAAAAATGACTTAACAGACTTAAATTAAGAGTAATCATAAGAATTCATGACAGCACACGTAGAATTTTCCTGTAATGTGCAGATGATAATATTCTGGTACTGTTCAAATATGCAATCAGCTTTATTTTTATAATCTCCTTAATAGAACTAATTTGTCTGCACATGTAGACAGGCAAAAGAAGAATTAGGGACCACCCAATGAAACTGATGCTTGGAAAAAACAAAGCAGAAGGCAAACAATTCCTGCTGGAGGGAATGCAGGAACTGACTTTCAGTTCATTGGAGTTAGCTCTGCAGTCAGAAGTGGGAAAAAGTCAGACATTGTCAGTTTTGAAAGGAGGCAACAAAAGTCACCAATAATATGCTTATCTGGCTAAGACTTGCCAAAAGAAAATAAGCATAAGGTTCACAAATAAAAACAGCCTATGATTAATTTAAAGAATAATGTGTTCAACTTTTAAAGAAAAACATCTCATCTTATGATAGAGAACAACCACAGCACTTGGAGCTCCAAAATCTAGAAAGCTTTGAAAGAACACTTACGAAGTGATTTGAAAGCCCCAAGATTTAAGTACTTGACACTACTCTGTTTCTTTGACCTTAACAGGAATAAGGGGCCTAAAAAAGGGACCCCTGAAATTTGTCAGTCTTCTGGCTGCTGATGCTGAGAAGAAAGTACCGCAAAAAAAAAATCTTCGCATGCATTAAAATCCTCAGAGAAAATGAGGGTGACTACATAATTTTACTATCTCAAGGATTCTCTTCAGCACAGAACACACATGGAGAACAGCACACCCAGTCCTTTATCGGTTTTCGCAGTTTACTGTTTTACTATAACCACATGACAGCACTAAATCAGTGACCAAAGTTCAGACAACTTTTACACTGTTATTCATCTATTAATTGAGAGCAAGAAACACCAGTTCACAAAGGCAGACCTAAAAGTACGATAAAATACTTAAATATATAATTTCTAAATGTTAAGGTTAATAACTAAGCTGTTACTTTAACAAAATAGGTAAACATGTTGCTCGGCTCTCAAGAGTTACATCCTGCATTAATCTCAAAATGAAGTTTTCATGCTATTCCAGTGGGTACCCCTGGAATATAGTAATCCATTTTCTACACTATGGCTATAAGAAAAGCCGACTGTGCCTATGTCATGCTTTGTTAGAGGTTCATGATCACATTATCTCATGGTGGACCTGACACTTTTATTCAGTTTACAGTATGTTCTGTGTACAGGCAACTTATTTCCTTTGCCAGGGCTGCTGACAACCTTTTCCACACTATATTAATCTTGTTTATAGACTTTATCTTGGTACAAATATCAGAAAACTGAACTTTTTATCTCAGGGAGAAAATAAACAACATGTTGACAGAAGCAAAAGCTATTTTCTGGACTAAAATTGGTTGTTTACCCACAGCCATACTTATGGAAACAAGTTTAAGTTTCCAGCTTACTCAAAATACATAATCTGGAATTTAATAAGCATTGAAAATCCAAGAAAAAGCACTTGACGGATTTTCAGTTCTAAAATAATACATAAAAGACAAATACATTTTTCCATTAATTCATATGAGAATATGAACTACATGAACAGATACAACCAGAGTACACCACTCAAGTTTTTTTTACATAACCTAGAAACCTTCAATTTCACTGAGCGGACACACAACATTCATAAAATTAAAATCACGATGCATAATTAGAGATCTTTATATAAAACTGAATGGTGATGACTATAATATTCATAATGGGTAATGCAAAGAAATTTATCTTTGCAAAACTGCCATCTAGGGCAAAAAAAAAGAGCTGTGGCTCATCTTAATCTGCTAAATCACTATTAGCAAAATCAATTGCAATGTTTATGCACAGGGAAACAAACAGCCACTCAACTGTTCACATTCTTTATTCATCTAGAAAAATTGCATGGTTTTCTAGAGTTGGTTTAGAAGTCTTAGTGCACAAAAAGGAGCTGAATTAAGTACCAGGGTTCCTCTAGTAAACGAAAAATGAACAGAACTGAAGGCAAAAGGTTTCTTATTTTTTTTCCCTGCTCACAAAATTGCCTGGACAGCCTGATCTGGTGGATGGCAACCATGCCCACAGCAGGGGGTTGGAACAGGATGGATTTTAAGGTCCCTTCCAACCCAAACCATTCTAAGATTCTACAACTTTATTTTTTTCTATGGAGTGCATTCAAGGGGGTAGGGCCTGAATGTACACACACATATCAAGGAATCATAATTACTGTGATGGGAGTAAGTAGATTGACCAGAGTGTCATTTAAACTTAAAATGAAGTTCATTCACTAACAGCATGCTTCTGGTCAACTCTTATACAATATTAAAGGTCTTCATTCCATGCACAAGACTTTTAGCTTTTAAACACTCATATGTTAAATTAACAGTAAGTATAGAGTATCGCAGAGCTGATGCACAGTAACCTCTCTCAAGCTTTTAACCAGTGTATTTAATGGCCTGCATTTCTCCAAGCCCTATTGTAACTGAGCACACTCAAAGGAAATTAGGTAGCTATAACTAATACAAAAAGTAGAACTATTTCTAACTATTCCCCCCAAATAAGAATAGCAGCTTTTAAAAAAGACAAATGACTAGGAATAATGTCTTAAGGAACGAAGAACAAAACTGATTTTCAAAAATACAGAATGAAACATCACGGGTCTTCACACAGCTCAATTGTGTTGCAATCTGCATTGTAGCTCAGATGCAGAAAGCAGCAAAATATGACGTGTAAAGGGAAAGTAGGGCTGACTTAGAGGTTCTATTAAGCCTTCATGAAGACATAGTCCATTAGCAGAATACCTACATCTGTGCCAGTTTCTTGCTACTCTATAATTATTTAAAATCAAACTCTTACTAACAAAGCATTGCAAAACTCAATGGATCATTGCCATTATGCTTGTGAAACATAAGCAAACGATCGGAAAGAAAAATCTCAAGAAAAATAGGTCAGAAGACTTGGAGTTTAACACTAGAGCTAACACTTTTCTCCCTGAACGTCTTACCATTTTCTCTTCATAAAACAAACAAATAAGCCTCCATGCATCCTAGATAAAATGAGAATCAGAATGTTTCTATGAGTCAAAGAAAATGTGCAAGTTCACCTATCTCTTGAGTGAGTTTCACACTCTACATTTCTTTTTTAAACAACTAATAAAATACATCTCCCTCTTCACACTTGGTTTTCAATTGAATGATTAATGGAAAAACAAAAAGAAAGCAGAGATTTAAAAAACAAGTCCAATATTCAACCTCATTTCTTCAAAGAAAGGATATTTAAATCACCTACAAAAGCCATAGAGTACACTTCATTGTAAACCTATTCTTTTACACAGAATTTCTCAGCTGTTTTTTATCTTAAAAAAAAAACAAACAACAAAAAACAAAAAACAACAACAACAACAAAAAAGACCCTTGCATTTGAAATTAACTGATTATAAAAATTAAAACAAGTGACTTTTGGAAAGAGTTTAAAAATGAGTCAGTATGAGATCATCTTTCAAGATGTCTGATATGTAATATAAAATAGTACTATGATATCTTTGCCCCAACAGCAGCTCGGAGCACAGCAAAAAGGAGACTGACACTATCAAGGATTAAGAATAGACTTCAGAAGAAAACATAAAATACACTTTTTTCTTTAATTTAAACCAGCTCGTGGTATGAGACACATATAAGCTTCAGGATTGCATGAACACCATATAGTATCACAATGTCAATTTTATACAGTGGGAAAAGAAAAATTTTCAGGATAGCAACTTGGAAAGTAGTAAGTATGACAACAAAACGTTGCCAAAATTTTTTGGAAAAACATTTAGAATTCAACTAATTATATTTAAATTTAAAAAAAATTCCCTTAATAGAAAAAGCTACCAGTAAAATGAGGTTCATATTGTGTATGAAAACATCTTTATTACATTTTAGCTATCTATAGACAAAACTTATTCTAGGGTGAAGTCAGCTTCACTAAGCCAGCAGGATTTTGACTTCAGTAGTGCAAGGACTTGATCCTTGTTAGTTACGAATGTTCTAAAATGCTGAAACAACGCGTTTTATGTAAAACTATTATCAGTAAGTGAAGTTACCTGTATGGTGATACAGACAGAAGAAAAGAGCAGAGCACAGCAATTAGGACAGTTGCCTCAGCCTGTGAGATTGGATTCTATTCCTCCATCTGCTACACACTTGCTGTTTTGACCTTTGGTTAGTTTTTACTTCAGCTCAGTTCCTCATTCGAGAGAAACAACAAAAACATACAAACAAGACCTTCCTCCCCCCCAGAAATCTATATTGTGGTAGTTTCTCCTTACTTCATGAGAGTAATGTAATATAATGACAGTAAAAATTGTACCAACAAAAGCTATTAAAAAATGCATTTGCTTTAAGACTGCTTCAAGTACGCTACTGAAGGTGATTTTTATTCTTAATATGCTAAGACTTATTAGAGGAAACAAAAAACTCAATATTAC